ACCGAAGGGAACGCGGGCCTCAAAATCTGGAACGTTCAGAGATAGGAAGAGGCGCGGTCTCAGCACCGGGCTCCGGGAAATTGGACCCCTTTTTTTCTCCCTCCCCAAGCACCTCAGACCAGGTCAAGTGGGTGATCAGGTCATACCCAATTCAGGCCCGGGAGATCTAGGGCTATCCGCGGACCTCTCAGGAAGGTGGCTATAAAAAGAGCCCTGCTAGGGACACAGGCATTTGGAGAACGGAAGAATCAATCTAAATAAACATTTGGAATTGGGTGGCTGGTGTTCAAACCCGAGGTCTGGGGGTTTCTGGACCGAGGAAGGAGAGCAGACGCCGAAAAGGGTGTAGAATTCCCACCGTTACCTCTCCTCGCCAAGTTCCCTTCTCCAATCCCAGCCTCGGCGCCTCTTCCTGGCCTCCTGGCGTGACTTTCTATCGTAAATTAAAGTTTCTAGAGGGGCCTCTGTGGCGTGCAGACTCGTGGTCTTCCGTGGTTTCCTCAAGCACGCTGACACCCCCTGGGCCTCAGCACTGGGTCCCACCGTCCCCATCCTTGCGGGAGTTGGAGAATCCTCTACACGCGTTAACTTTGTATCAAAACACAGGGGGAACAGTGTGGTCAGTTTCAGACTGAATTAAGAAGAGGAGTAGCTACGGCCGGGCTGGTGGAAGGAAAGGAGGGACAAGAAGATGGAGAAGCGCCTCAGGAGGCGAGGTCTTAGATGCAGTAAACAGTTTTGGTGCGGATGCGTCTCCGGCGGGTAACTGGTTTAGTCTAAGCCCTTTCATGTAAAACCCACGAAGCAGAGGAAGCATGCTAAGAACATAAAAATTTAAACCGCAATAATGAAAAGACTTCCGAGAATAAAACGCCGATTGCAGAACAAAATCGGAGAAAACCAAGCTTCCCGAAGTTTACACTCCCCTGCGCTAGAGCAGGGGCGGGACTTTGGGGTTTGGAGCTGACAAGGAACCCGCAGCCCAGACGGGGACAGTCGCCAAACGAGTGAAAGAGCACCGGTATTGAGAGGGGACTGGCTGCCCCGAGGTTAACCAAGGAGCTCCTGGGCTGATCTATACTCATTTTAAGGAGCCATACTGTTCCTTTATGTAAGAACGAGAAATCAAGATTTTTGTTGTTTATAAAGCAGTGAAAGTCAGTCGGGAAGAGTTCACCACCTGAAGAGGGGACTCCTAGAGAGAGGGAAGTGTTCTAAGCAAGGCTGTTTTAGAGACAAACGCGCAACTTCCCTTTTAAACCATATGCTAAACAGAAATTCAGATATTGTTGCCAGGGATAAAGAATTTGACATAATTTGTTACCGCACGCATTCTTACCCAGGAGGTTTGTATAAATCCATAATTAAAACACAATTCAGAGAGGTTTTGCTGTGAGGCAGTGAAAGCAGCCTAGGAGTTGGGACCCCAGGCCTGCCCACAGGCCAACTTTGTTAGTTGCTCAGGTGTGACTTTCATCTGGTGTTTCTAAGCCTCAGTTTCCTTACCTCCAAAGGGGGATGACAGTACCTAAGGCCACGTGGCAGTGCCACTAGGTGAGTGGAAAGGTTTGTACCTGTGAAGCCTATAAGGAACGAAATGTAGGGGTTTAGTCTTTATAGATGTGCGGTCTCTGCCAGAGCGATAGTTTAAATAGGCAGAAGTGGGGGTCTTCAAGAAAGAGTTTGGAGAAGAGGTCCTTCCTGCTCAGATAACTGAGAAGGTCACCAACCCCCATATCTTTGGGAGTACAGGGCAATATTTAGACCCCTGGAGAGAGAGAAAGGCTCCAATTAGCCCACCTGCTCCCAGCTGAGGCTCTCACTGTTCTCTAATGTCTATTGTCCTTCCAGGACTTGTCTAGCCTCCTCACCAAACAATAAGTGGTATTTCTTGCAAGCTTAGAGAATTTGGGTAAAATAGGTACCACTGTCACTAGTACAGGGGAGGGAGCCTTTAAAGTTTCCTGATAATTTAACCAGCTGAATTGGTAGAAACTAACAATGTGTAGAGTAAGGGTTTTTTCTCTCTCTCTCTCTCTTTTTTTAAATGAATATCTGTGGACCCCCTAAGACTCCAGATGAAATGGACATATTTTTTTCTGGAGGTAGGCTCAAAAGCTTCCATCATATTCTCAAAAAGACTAATGCCCCCCAAACTGGGAACTGCTGGCATACAGAATTATTACTAGCCCTGCCTGGATTTAAGAGCTGGTGCTGTTTATTCTTCGGTCTCTGGGTCCTAAAACCTGAGATCCAATGTACATAAGAATCCCTGAGTGCAGAAAATCAGAGAGGGCCCAATGACAGTGATATTGACTTGCTGCATTTCCCCCAAATCCATTGCCCACCACCTCCATCTACAAATGAAATGATTGCCTTCCTTTTTTCTATGCTTCCCAGCTGGACCAATTCTCCTCACAACACACACACACACACTGTACACACACACACACACACACACACACACACACACACACACTGAAGGCTACGTCAGTGGAGCTCCTTTGAGATACTATCAGTCCTTCTCACTCCACTTTCTATTTTATTTAATTATTTTTCAGACAAAGCATTGATCTAGTGAACACACTATGTTTACTTCTATATTTAGTTGATTATATTTAAAGTACTCCATGCAAAATGACAAAAAGGGGGTAAGAGAAAAATACTATGAGGTCAATAGGGACCCATCCCTTTAAAAAAAAAAAAAGGTCACCAGTCACTTAGAAATTCTCAGAAGTGGAAACAACTGCAAAGTCCCTACCCCAACTCAATCAAAACATCCCATCCGGAAAAGAGCGACTTGTTTCTTTTTTCTATTCAAAATGAGCGGTAAACTGAGTTCATTTTGGCCGTGTTTTCTTAGCTGACTCTCAGCTACAATCAGGCCATTTTCGGACACATTCCCATGTAGGTACCAGGGGTGCTCTGGAGGAAGCTGTCGACGCCTGTTCAACTAATTTAGGTTTTCTTTGTCTAATTACTGTGGAGCTTAGGGAAAAGGAGCTCGGCTCAAGGCAGTAAACTGACACTCAGTCTCTGTGTGTGGTATCCAGGCAGGGTTTGATGGAAAAAGCCTGCTTCCACTCAACTTCAGGTCACTGTCTGGGGCCAGACCCAGCCCAGCCCCCAGCCTACCCCTCCCACCCCTCCCTCTCCTCAGCTCTACAGCCCCACCAGCATGCTCAGCCTGAAGCAGTCCCCCAGGGCTCTGGGGGTACAGATAGCTAATGCCAGCCCCAAGAAGCCTGCCTCGGTTCTATTCTACCCAAGGCGCTTCTCTGCCCACCTTTCACCAGATACCGGCACCACCTCCCCCTTTCTTGCCCCTCCCCCCATCTCACCGGCTCCCCAGCACAGGTGCTTGCTTGAACCTCGGTCCTTTCAGAGCAGACGCTCAGGTGAGCCCAGCCCAGCCTCCCATTTGGTCCTCTGCTCTGCAGCAGCTCCCCTCTGGGCCTTGCCCCTCACCCCTGTGTGGCCCAGCCTCTCCCCAGGCCTCCTGCACCCCTCCTCCCACTTCCAGCCCCTGCTCCTGGTCAGACTACATTTCCTTGCAGTGCAATCCAATAACTAACTGTCCAGTCTCATTGGAAGTGATTCCTCCCGAGGGCACAACCTCTCTCCCAGCTGGACTCTTACTCAAGAGTGGAATTAGCCACACTGGGGTGGAGTGTTCTCCCACACCAGCCGCACCATTTTTTTGATGGGCAATGTTGAGACTGAGGATGTAAATCTAGTGACAGTAACACACCCCTTCAGGACTGAATATAAACACAGCTATTTCAGTTATCTCAGTACCAGCCTTCTTTTTGCATTTCTTTCTTTCTTTTTCTTTTCTTTTCTTTTTCTTTTTTTTTTTTTTTACAAAACATCAAGTGGAAAACAGAAAAAAAGTGGAAACAAATGCAAACATGAGTTCTATTCTACCAGATTTCCAGGGTCTCTAAAACTTGGTCTAGCTTCCTCTATCTAAAGCCCTCTTCTCAAAGTTCAGCAAATGCCCACGACAGCTCCAGGCCACAACCCTGGGGGCACTAGGGCACCTTGACTTCTCACTCTCTATTAACAATTGTCCCCGTAGCCTGCAGGCCCTGTCAGAAAGAGAGAGGATTGGCACATTACCTTTGGGCGTCTGGCACCCTGGCCTGCTGAGGGCTGCAATGTCTAAATGAAGTTGACAGATGGTGTCAGTGCGGGAACCGTGGAGGGGGGTGGGGGGGCGGAGGCAGCTAAGGAAGCTCCGGGCGGCCGCACCAACCCAGGGTGGGCCAGGAGCAGGAGGAAGAGGAAGAAGAGGAGAAGGGAGGAGGGGGAGGAGGGAGAGGAGGAAGGGAGGTCTGCGCCACCGGGGGCGGCTGGGTTCTGGGATTGGAGGCAGGGTGCTGCAAGGGACAAAGAGAAAGATTTCATAATGCCATAGGTGGTCGAGTTTTGCTTGAGGTGGGTTGGGAGTCATCCTAGCAAAAAGTGAGTTCGTCTGTGATCTCTCCCTTTGAAAGAGGGTGGTTGGGGGACAGTGAAAGAGGCTGAGAGAGGAATTAAAGACCGAAGAGGACCCTGGAGAGCAGGGAAGGAGATAAGAGAGGGAGCCTGCCGTCAGGTGTGGGGGGAGGTTGAGCGCCGAGGCGGAGCGTGCCCTCCCCGAGGCGGTGGCGCGAGGAGGGGACTGGGCGGGGTAGGGGTGGAGGGAGGGAGGGCGGCCGGGGGGAGCGGAGGGAGGGAGGAAGTCTGAGAGACAGAGCGAGTAGCGCTCCTGAAGGGAGACGTCGGGCTCGTCCTCGGGGTGCCGGTCGCGGTCCCAGCCCGCGTGCGCAGCTGCCCGGCACCCGGCCGCTGCGGCTCCGCGGCCCGGGAGGCCGCTGCGAAAGCAGGGCTGAGGCTCGGGGAGGGATGCGCCGGGCGTTGCCTCCAGCCCGCGGCCGCCGCCAGAAGCCCGAGCGGAGCTGAGGAAGGCGACGCCGAAGCGCTGGCTCGGAGTGGCCACGGCTGCAGCCCGGGTGTCGGGCTAGGGCGCTCGGCCGGCTTCTGGGCCGACCCGGTTCCGGCGCCTCCGCTGCCGGCCGCGCGGCCCAGCCTCGCTCCGGGATCTCAAATGACCTCCGAGGGCGGGCCGCCGCCGCCCCCGCCTCGCCCGCCGCCGGCCCCGCTCCGCCGCGCGTGCAGCCCGGCCCCCGGCGCGCTCCAGGCCGCCCTGATGAGCCCGCCGTCCGCCGCCGCCGCCGGCCTGGAGCCCGCCTCGTCGTCGTCGTCGTCGTCCGCCTCCTGTGCCTCCTCGGCTTCCTCGTCGTCCTCCTCCTCCTCCAACCCCGCCAGCGCCTCCTCCGCCGCGGGCAAGAGCGCAGGCGGCGGCGGCGCGGGCGCCAAGAAGGCGAGCTCGGGGCTGCGGCGGCCGGAGAAGCCGCCTTACTCGTACATCGCGCTCATCGTCATGGCCATCCAGAGCTCGCCCAGCAAGCGCCTGACGCTCAGCGAGATCTACCAGTTCCTGCAGGCGCGCTTCCCCTTCTTCCGCGGTGCCTACCAGGGCTGGAAGAACTCCGTGCGCCACAACCTCTCGCTCAATGAGTGCTTCATCAAGCTGCCCAAGGGCCTCGGGCGGCCGGGCAAGGGCCACTACTGGACCATAGACCCGGCCAGCGAGTTCATGTTCGAGGAAGGCTCGTTCCGCCGCCGGCCTCGCGGCTTCAGGCGGAAGTGCCAGGCGCTCAAACCCATGTACCACCGCGTAGTGAGTGGCTTGGGCTTCGGGGCCTCGTTGCTGCCCCAGGGTTTCGACTTCCAGGCGCCCCCGTCGGCGCCGCTCGGCTGCCACGGGCAGGGCGGCTACGGCGGCCTTGACATGATGCCGGCGGGCTACGACGCCGGCGCAGGCGCCCCGGGCCACGCGCACCCACACCACCACCACCACCACCACCACCACCACGTCCCGCACATGTCGCCCAACCCGGGCTCCACCTACATGGCCAGCTGCCCCGTGCCCGCCGGGCCTGGGGGTGTAGGCGCGGGCGGCGGCGGCGGCGGCGGCGGCGGCGGGGACTACGGTCCGGACAGCAGCAGCAGCCCCGTGCCTTCGTCCCCTGCCATGGCGAGCGCCATCGAGTGCCACTCGCCCTACACGAGTCCCGGGGCGCACTGGAGCTCGCCCGGCGCCTCGCCTTACCTCAAGCAGCCGCCCGCCCTGACGCCGAGCAGCAACGCCGCGGCCTCCACCGGCCTGCACTCCAGCATGTCCTCCTACTCGCTGGAGCAGACCTACCTGCACCAGAACGCCCGCGAGGACCTCTCAGGTAACAGCGCGCCCACTGGGGGCGTCGCCTTAGGCCTCCTGGTTCTTCAGCTACTGCTACTGGCACCGGGGTCGCCAGAGCCCAGGGGTCTGAGGGCACTGGGAGAAGCCGATGCTGGGGGGAGCAGGCATCTTATTAGTGGAGGACAGAGGGTTGGGGTCAGAGTGCCCTCCACCAAACCTTGGCCCAGAGGTGGACCTCTAGAATTTGCACTGCTAGGAGGGTGGTACAGAATCACCAGCCTGCGGTCTTTGGGTGTTCTTGTGGACTGCAGGTCTCAAATCTCAGGCTTCACTTAGCTTAGAGAGAAGGCATGTGGACTTTGGGGACCTTGGCCAAGGAGCTGTCTGCTGCTTTTTGTCTTTTTAAAGTTGTTTTTGCTGTATTTTTGTCCATTTAGTAAAAGTCAGAAAGGGAGCTATTCTGTATGCTGAGTGAGGGTGGGAGTAGGGAGTGGTTGCAATTGGGCAAGTATTGAGAGGAGGGGAAATGAGGGAGGGGCAGAGAGGACAGCAGAGTGGGGTCCCAGGATCTTAAACTGGCTGTGGAGTCTCCTGCCTTCCCACGACTGTGACCCACCTTGATGACACTTGAGCCTGTCTTAGGCCACCTATGACTCCCTTGAGAAAATGCCTGCCATTGGACACCAGTTGTGTTGCTGGTGTAAATTGTGCTGGTAGAGGATTATGAAAATTTATTGAATTGTTAAACCTTTCGGTGGGAGGAGACAGGTAGGGTGGAGGAGGGAATTTGAATATCCAGGTTTCTCATATTCACCCTCTCTGAAGGTGGAGACAAACTCTCTTATATTAACCCCCTCTGAGGTACCCACAGGTCGCAGATTAAAACCCGGTTGGTTTACCCATCGTATGGTGCTCTAGCTTACACTTAACTTGCCTTCCCTTCATTAGGAAATGGTTCGCAGGACGATGAATACATTATATTTTAGTGACTCGTGTAGGACAAGAGAAGCAGGGGAGAAGGGAAGCCTAGAAATGGGCAAAAGATGTTGGTTCCCTGGACGGTGAAATTTCCCAAACAGGCCTTTTAAATGCGGGTCTCAGAGGTTAACTAAACAAAGACAGTCTCGGCAGGACCACACCGGAGAGGATTTTAGCCTGACTTAACCCACTGAAAGCAGAGTCTTGTTCAATTTTATGGGAATTTCTACAAGTAACCAATACAGACGATCCTCCCTTTTTTTTTTTTTATCCTGGCGGACTGGCTGTCAGTCACTCCACACCCCAGGCGTAGCCCACTGGCCCACTAGCCCACCCACCCGCCCACCCTCTCCTCTCCCGGCCCTGCAGACTGTCCTCCGCGCTTCCTTTTTCCCAGAAGGCCCTACTCAACCTGAATCCAGACTTTAAGGCTTTGCAGCCGCTGCGAAAGAGTACCCTAAAAATTAAAAACAAAGAAACAAAAAAAAAACACTCAGGAAGTAGATTTCTGATCCTTCTGTGTGGTCGCCCTATCCCCATTCCACACACCCGGAGCACGCACAAGCCCCAGAAATGCGGGGATCCGAAACACAACTCTTTGTCTTGGAGAGAACGAAAACTGCCCAGCCGAGCAGTCGGGCCTCTGCCGCGTGGCCTTTCCCAGAACCCTCGCACGACCTCTGAGCCGAGACTGGGAAGCCAGGGAAGCCGTGGCTCAGCCGAAGCCCGAGCCGGATGCTTTACGCCTTCCTCTCTCGTCCTCAGGCTCCTGTACCTCTCGAATGTTATCCCCATCCCAGCCCTTGTTGTCATCTTGTGGGCCAGCCGGGTGCGTAGCACCCTGCGGGGCCCGCGGGGCTGCGGCCTACTTAGAGCCCAGGGCCCAGAGAGGAGCCTTGGGGACAAGCAGGCTGAGGCTGTGGGCGGAGGAATAGTTTCGTAGCGAGCGCGCGTCCGCGCGCACGCGCGCGCGGGCACACACACACACACACACACACACACACACACACACACACACACACACACCACACACAGCACGACCCCCCACCCCCAGCACACCCACGCAGGTAGCACTCCCCCACTCGATACAGGGCGGCCAAGGCCCGTGTGCTCTCGGAGGCCCCGCGCACTTTGTTGTGTTAGCCTTTAAAAGAGCTAGGGCTTTTATCGCCTTTTCCATCACATCCAAGTGCTGACCGGCGGCCTTGGGCGGGGAGGTGTGAGCGCGCTTGGGGTCCTGCCTGGGTCCCCTATTTGGGGGATCCAGTAACTGGCACCGCGACGTGCTGTAACGTGCTGGGCGAGCGCACCTGTGTGCAGAGCCACAAGAGCATATCCAGGGCGCGTGGACCGGTTGCTGCTTTATGAGAGCAGTGCAGCTCATGTATGGCGACAATAGGTCTTATCAGACAATAAACGCAGGCCGAGTCAAGGGCTACTTAGCAGCCGCCTGGTGTCTCCATCAGCGCTGGGATGCGGCCAGGCCGAGGCACGCGAGCAGGGCGCTCGCGCCGCGGGGCCAACGGGGATGGTTTTCACACACTCAAAAACTGAATGAGGCCCGGTACCAGCGTGTGGCTCACGGTCCTCACACCATGTGGGTCACTGGAAAGAGCAGGCCTAACCCAACCCGGCACGGACAGAGGCCTGTTCTGGGAGAAGCCCAGGTCCCAGCGTGCGCCAGACACCCAGGCTGATTGCGCCCCGGGGCTCTCAGGCGCCTAGAAAGCAAAAGCAAAGGGCGGCGGCAGGTCGGCGCCCAGTGGCCGCCAGACTTCGACCCTGGGTGGAGGAGCGGCCCCGGAGCAGAGGGGTGCGGGCCTACTTCGTCCTCCGCCAGGCTGGAGCTCTCTGAGAGGCTCCCCGAGGGGCTCCCGGCGCTGCCAGACGCCACGATGTGCAGAAGGCTCTGCGACTGAGCTCTTACAGAAGGGCTTTCTCTGTCCCTGGGATCTGGCTTCTCTAGGGGAAGCTTTAGACGTTCTAGACCTCCGAAGATGGCGCGCTTTCTTTCCCGGCCCTTTCTTTGGCGCAGGGATTGTTTTCTGTCCCCCACCCCCCTCTTTGGCACAGGAAATATTCCTGCTGTGGCCTGCTACTCTGGCCGGGCCAGTTAGTTGAGAAACAAGAGGGGAGGGCGACATTGGTGTTTCTGCGGAGGAGGGCTTGGACTCTGGAAAAAGCCCTGTGCTCAGGAACCCGGACCAAGAGGCTGGGTCAAGTGTCCCTGCTCCTCCTGCGATTGAACCGCTTGTTCAGGGCCTCCAGGAGTAATAGAGAAATTCAGGCAGATAAGAACCCCGTTTAGAAGGGGACCGTGCTCTGTGTTTGTGGGTACGCCAAAACAAAGCATAATGATTCCAGAGTTTTCCCATGACCCATAGTTTAAAACTTTGAGACACTTCTAGAACTAGGTTTCCTCTACCAGTTTTATAGCAATTGACCAACATCTTTCTTACCCTGAGTCAAAACAAGACACCAGTTAAATTTTTAAAAATAATATGCCCCACCCTCAGCTGGACAAATTTGTTTCTGAAAAGAGTTTTTATTTTCTTCTTTCAGTGGGACTGCCTCGATACCAGCATCACTCTACCCCAGTGTGTGACAGAAAAGATTTCGTCCTCAACTTTAATGGCATTTCTTCTTTTCATCCCTCTGCTAGCGGGCCATATTATCACCATCACCACCATCAGAGCGTCTGTCAGGATATTAAGCCCTGCGTCATGTGAATGCAGGGAGGGAGGAGGCCATGCCAAGGCCGCTCTCTCCTTTGAGGGGGAAGATGAACTGAGGTGGACTCACATAATGTGCACCCCAATCGCAATAAGTAGCACCCCAGTCACTTAGAATCCCCAGGCCAGCATTGTTCACTGACAGTTGTCTACCACTGGTAGAAGGACAAGCCCTGGCATGGTAATGCCCTAAGTATGTGCAGGCTCCAATCAGAGGGAGAGCTAACTGAGAACTCAACTTCTTAGCAGAAATGGTACAAAGTTACCACATGAAAAACATAAACATGTAACTCTGGGATCTTCATTGCCTTCAGTAATCAGGGTCTGAAAAACGCAGACAAGTTGTGTGTGTGTTTTTCTTTATCTATGAAAATTTGTGTGCTTTTCAAAAAGGCAGTGCTAAACACAAAATTTCAAGAAAGCCTCATCTTGTTGCCTAGTGAAGGAGAGAGTTGTTTTACCAAACATTACGTTTGGATACAGGTGCCAAAGAACATTATTAAGAAAGTATTTAGAAACAATGTGTCTAGTTTAAGAAAGTGGTTTTCAGTATTGTGACAATACAACGTTTCTTACAAGGTTGTTTTCTACCACCATATTTTAAAGATATTTTTATGATCTCATGTATACTCACACTTTGCTTGTATTTTAAAAGGAGGATATATTTGCACTTATGTATACTTTTACAGTTTGCCAAACGATTTTGATGTAAAATTTTTTCAATAAAATGTATATAACAAATAGTCGTTTTAGGGACCTATTTCCTCCACGGCATCCTGAGATGGCCACGTTCTCTCCACCAGCCAGCAATGCAACTCTACACTTTTTTTTTTTTCAAGTTGTATAATTGACATGGTGTGGGGTCTGTGCCTTGAGTAACAGGCCAGGTTCTGATTTTGGGTCTTCTCAGGAGAGAAAGAGAAGAAGGAACGTTTTCTGTAATTTCTTTCTTTCCTTCACCCTAGCTCTTTCTGGCTAAACAAAAAACCAGAAGGCGAAAGGAACTTAAAAGAAAACCAGGCAAGATAGTGAAAAACAAAAATGAAAATTAAACAAAAAAGTTTGATTTGAAGAAATTAGGTTTTGTGCCCCTTTTGTTCTCTTTTCCTGTGCCCAAGGAGAGTTTTTACTTTTGCTCTTTCCTCTTCCCTGCCAGCACAGAGTGTTAGGCCTGGTTGAGCAGCCAGCGAGGGTTAGGTACCCCCAAACCACCAGCTGTTTCCCCTTTGCAAGTCACAGTTTTGTAATGGGTGCTGATCACATTTTGTTATAGGTGGTGGTCAGCTCCTAAAGAGTCCTGAGGCGGAAAGCTGTGGGAACAGCAATGGGTCCTTTTCAGCATCCCGGGTTCTTTAACTTCCTTGGGGAGTAACAGAACCTGGCCCCCACAAGGTGTCCTGGGCCTGCTCTCTTTCCCCATCTTCCAATTCAGAGCCTGGCCAGCCCTGCTTAGCTTGGCAACCACCAACCCCCACCCCTCTCCCCCTCTGCTCTATACTCCCTCCTTACTTTTCTCAAGGGATTTGATGTATTCCCTCGGGACCCCCTCACAGCCCTTTTTCCTTTCTTGCATGGCCTCCCAAGTTTTCCCAATCATGAATGCCTTAGGCAAGGGCTGGTGAAGCTCTGGATGAAAAAAAGAAAATAGGCCCACTAGACAGGAGGGCTTGTTTCTTCCCAGTGCCCCCTGTCTGGCCAGCCCTTCAAACTCATGGGCAGCAGTGGCTACCAGCGATCAGAGCAGGAGCAGAGGTTCTCAACCCACAATCATGCTGCAGTTTTCTTCTTCAACTCAGGGCTGGGGTTTTGTTGTGTTTTTGCTTTTGCTTTTGGAAACTCACCTTTGTTCCTGGTTCCCTAAAAGACCTTTCTGCCAGTCAATCACCAGGCACTTAATAACACTCAGTAGATATCTCACACACAGGTTTTTGTATTCCAAGTGAATTTCAGTCCAAAGACCATCTCCCTAGTAAAACAGCTTGTCTTTAAACTTCTTAACCATCTTCCTAATCCTTATGCTTCCTTTCTATAGTTCCCAAAACCAAGCAGTGATTTAAACTTTTTTATGTGTCTTCATTATCATATTTGCAGTTAAATAGGGCATTTTTTTTCTTTTATACTGAGCTACTCAGGGGCCTGCTATAAATTATGAAGTCAGTTTCAGAGTTTGCTCCGACCACAGTGCTGTGTTTACATTCCTTCTGAGGCTGCCGGCATGGTCGTAATTTATATCCTAAACACTTGAACGTAACTTGTTTATACAGAGAATGACAGGACCTCAAAGACAAAAACGCTGCGTCTCCGAGTAACCGCATTGGAAAGGCTAGCGCGCCCCCTAGTGGTGCAAAGAGACACAAAGCTCCCCATTTCCTCCCCCCTCCCCTCCCCCCGCACTAGGTGATTCATGGTTCTTGAAAGATGCGCGAGGACTTTCTAAAAATGACCTATTTTGTGGTGCTTTTTCCATATCCTTATGATTTGGGGATGCTGATCCTATTTACATATCTGCACTAGGTCATGGCTATCGGGGTTCGACCCATGTTGTCTGATTTCGGTTTATTTCACACGTTTTCGCCAACATCGTACGTAAGAACTGTGCATCTAACATTGCAGATGTAGGCACAAAGGCGATGTTCACTCTGAAGCAGGGGTTCTAAAACTTGAGTGTGCTTCAGAGTGACTCAGAGGGCTTGTTACACACAGGCTGCTGGGCCCACCCCAGCTTCTGATGGAGTCCCTCTGGGCTGGAGCTAAAGAGTCAGCATGTCTAATAAGTTCCCAGGTGATGCCAATGTTGCTCCAGGGACCACACTTCGAAAACCAAAGGTCTGGAACGGCAGTCTGAATTACAAATATTTACAGGTTCAGATGGGTGTTACAGCTAATTTATTCATTAGATAGGCAAAGATCGAAACAGGTTTTGGAAAATAGTTTGTTCACCCAAATACCTCTGTCATTGATTACTGGCCCCTGGAGAAATGCAAGGCCTAGTTTGGAAGCCTGCACCAGAAAACAACCTACCTATTTATTTATTTACTTTATTTTATTTTATTATTATTATTACTTTTTGTTTAAAGTTATAGGAAAGGACAGTTTATTAGAAGAAAAAATACATTTCAGAGAAATAGAAGCAGGCCCGAGCAGTAGAGAATGGCTCAAGGGCCATTATTCGAAGAGAAAGTACACTTCAAAGAATTGGGAGTGGGCCAAGCAAAGGAAGCTGAAAAGGCCCCTACCCAATTTTTAATTCAAAGCAATGAGGCCTCTTATTTTATTCCAGCCAAGAAGTCAGGTGGCATCATTGAAGTCGGGCAGTAAGTCTAGGTACTTACGCACAACGATGATGTCAGAATTCTCCAGGCAAGGGAGGTGATGATTGCAGCAAGCAGGCGGGGAAAGAAATTTCTTTATTGGTTATAAAATCTTTTGAGGGTAGAACAGACAGAAGGCAAAGAAAGGGGGCTGCAGTCTCAGTGTATACAAATAATGATCTCTAGATACAAATGGGTCAGGCAGAATCATGGGGGGTGGGCAGGGAGAAGAGAGAGACAGAGGGAGAGATACAGAGAGAGGGAAGAGAGAAAAGGAAAGAGAGAGTGAGGGATAGAGGGTAGGAGAGAGGAGAGAAGAATAAAGAGGGGGAGGGAGAGAGGAAATGGGGTGATAAAGGGAGGGAGGGATAGAAGAGAGAGAGAGAGAAAGAGAAAGAGAAAGAGATGGGGAGGGAGGGAGGGAGACAGGGAGAGATCTGGAGAGGAAGAATCTGAAAAATATCTTTAGGGTTCCTGTCCCAAAGTTAGCAAAGCAGTCTTTGAAGCTGGGCTGCCGTCCTCTGAGGCCACAGCTATCTCTCCAAGTCTCCAAGGCCGGGCATTGGCTGAAAGGCTCACATACTTCTGTTTTGCTTGGCTTCTGCTTCGATTCTGGGGAAGTAAGACAATTCTCTAGTTCTGCGTGCTCAAATTTTCTGAACTGCTGCAACAACTTCAAGAGAATTTAGGGAAAATAATCTTGACTTAACATTTTAGAAAGTGGAAGTCTGATTTTGGGGGAAAGTCTTCAGGCCCATAGTATATACCACCGTATTATATTAAACGGAATTAGTACCTCCTTCCTGAAAGAAAAATTTTCTTGTGGATTCATATATACCTAATTACTGTGCATCATGGTGATTAATTCAAAACAGGCACCAACTTATTTAGAATGTAAATATATTTTAATATATTTTATCAGAACGGAAATATATTTTACCAAACCTGCCTCTATGAAACACTATCTGAGTAAGAAAAAACACCACAGATGTAGACATTGGGCCAGAGAGGGCCATAGCACACAGTCATCAAGATCATTTGGGAAAAAATAAAAGTCCTAGAGGTTCTTTTGGAGTTCAGAGAGCCCTGAGTCCAGAGCAACAAAACTGATAAATATTCAGCACTCTAGTTCCTAGGGGATGTGTGCATCCCAGGGCCAAATCACTTATGCCAAGTCCTCTTGGCATAAGTGTGTGCAGGAGAGGAGAGGCAGTCTGAGGAGCAGCCAGGAGGCCAGTGCCCTCAACAGTGTTCCCTCGGGAAGGGCTCCATCCTACCCTTCCAGCCTGGGAGCTGCTGTCTCACAGATAAAAAGAGACCCAAAGGGCGTTGGCCACAGCCAGGCAAGGACTCCGTTTTCCAGACAGCACCATGTCACCTCCCAGAACTAGTGGAACACCTCTAGAATCGCAAACTGCTTTGAATTTGAGTCTTGGCCCCAGGGTATGTGGAAAGGAAGACTTCCTTTCTCTCTCTCCCCTGGTAGCCACCCCTCACCCCAACCCCCACCCAGGACCTCCCCACTCGCATTTCCTAAGCACTACCCCACCATACCCTTCCCATGGTCTGTGAAGCCATTATTGTCACCTCCTGCTTCATTATGGAGGGAATGCAGGTGAGGCCCAGGGGAAGCTCCTGGAAGTGAGCTCATGAGGACGCCCTCTGTGTGCAGAGCCTGTCTGCAGGACCTTGTGTCATTCTGGCTCTCCTTAATTCGTTCACCCCAGCACTGAACAGACAGCAGCATCATACAGGGTAAGTTGCTGAACCACAGGGTGATCTGCCGCAACAGCTAATCTTCAAGAAGAAGGAAAGAACTATTCGAAAACAGTCGCTTAGCTGGGCTGAAGTATAAGATAACCAGGCTAGTAGTTGGTGTCTGAGTAGGGTTCCAAAAGTACCTGATCAGCTGATACTCCCACTTTGGGGGCCCAGTGGTAACTTGATGGAGCTTCTGCACATACAGCAGTGGGTCACAGCCCATGTGTCCTGTAGAGGGACCTGGGAGCTTTGAAAAGCACCTGGGTGGCCATCCTGTCACCCACCCAGCCAGTGAGCAAGATTAGTTGCTCTGGGAGAGGCTAGGCCTCAGAGTTCTTCAAAAGTTCCCTGAGCGTTTCTATTGCTCAGGCCGGGATTGACAGCCACTAATGAGCCTGACCTTGTTTATGTCTTACAGAAATCCTTTGAAGAAGGTATTGTTGTCACAAACTTGCTTGTTTGCAGAAAAGAAAAGGCCACCTCAATTATGTGTGGCTGGTGTGTCCACATTAGTTCCCCTGTTCGGAAGGCAAGTGTGCTACGTCCTGCACCCACCAGGCCACTTGGACAGCTTTGGCAAATCAGAAGCCCAGTCTTGCCCCACTTGGCCACACAGACTCTCTGGGCAGGACTGAGAGTGTGGGAGCCTCGGAAGCTCTCCAGGTAAAGCC